TGGATCAAAGGGCCGAATGAAACGTAAACCAAATTTCATGTCAATCAATACGTTTGATCTAAGCAAGGTAATTTAACGGACTTGTGCAATTATGTGTAAAAAAAAACTTGATTGACATGAAAAAAAAATGACAACACATACAAAGATCATTTTTATTGTTAATTTTTCCGATCGAATGTTGTGATTGATGTGAAAAAATAAAACAGATTAAAGGGTTCAAAGAAATGAAGAACTACATAGAGTCCACTGGCCTTTCCTGTCTGCTGTATTTCTTGAATTAAATCATAGATAATCTTTCAATGAATTATTTTGCTGTCTAATTTCTAATTCAAAATGTCAATAAAAATATTTTTCTGTGCTTTAACGGTACATATGTACATGCAGTTATAGTCATGTAGATTACAATTTTAGTCATGTATTTTCTAAGGAGTCATATAAATAGTGGGAAAGGCGATAATTTCAGCAGGTTAAGGATGGCTGTCTTGTCATCTAATACTAATAGCATTAAAAACTGATTTGCACCATAAAAATCTACATTGACAACTATTAAGTGGAGAAGTTAAATTCCCCTGGCATGACACACATTATCAAAGAATCAAGATAACCACAGGTAAAGTCTCAAATTTTTTTCTGGACTTCCAAGTTGGAAATGACTCCAAGTTAAAGGAGCTAAATCGCTAATATTTGGGACCTAGAAATTGACACAAATGGGTCGCAACGCATATTATAATGTAATATGAATGTATATAAACTGATTTACATTCCTTCGTTTTCGTTTTTACTCTAATTTCAATTCAGTTATGTTCGGTGAAATATGCCAGAAGTCTCAACCGAATGGCAGCCTCTAGTGTCTGGTTATTCCAGTCTACACCAATAGTATTTATTGCACATGCTCTCCAGATAGGAGAGAGAAAGAGATAGAGAGAGAATTGGGGTTTAACGTCCACTCGACACAAACTAGGTCATTTCGGGACTAACAAATGGTTCAATTTTATTTCAATAATTGGCTTGCGCGTAGGGGTCTTTAGAAGTGGGAGGAAACTGGAGAAAACCCACGAGGTTGGACAGGCGACCCTACTCCTTGTCACGTACAACCGGGAAATCGAAACCAAGTCAGTTGACTCAATGATAGACTGTATGGTACAGCGCGCACGTGCTAACCATTCAGCCATCCAACCCCCCTCTCTAGATAGGAATATGGCATCATCGTTTGAAATGACTTGTGATGTCTAGCCTCGTTCTTCGAGTCCCTTGTTACAAATGGTGCTGAAACGCATTATGGTATACAATTCATGTACCAATAGTAAAATGTTTATTTTGTCTTAAATATTTGATATCTTTTTTCTGCTAATATCACAACATCAATGTTGATTTAAAATTGACAAATAATTTGTGTTTTTAATGTCGAAGATTTTGGATATTACGTTACAGACTTGCTACATGTACCTTAAACTCAATATGGCATCAATCCCTTCAACTCGTGGCAATATTATCTCTGATAGCCTACTACTATTGCAGATTGCTGTTGGTAATGTCAGAGATTCTGAAAACTTTTCTAATTACACCTTAAAGGAGCTAAGTCTCTAACTCAATATTATCCAAAATCTTCAACATTGAAAACACGATTTATTTGTCAAATTAAATCAACATTCATGTTGTGATCTTACCGGAAAAAGATGGGCTTTTGATATCCGATATTTAAGACAAAATAAACATTTTACCATTGGTACACGAATCGTGTACCATAATGCGCTTCAGCCCCAGATGTATCAAGAGACTCGAGGGACGAGGCTAGACACATTGCACCAAATCAAACAGCGTATGTAAACTGAAATAACCAGACGCTAGAAATTTGCACTCGCTTGAGACTGCTGGCTTATTTCGCCAAACATAACTGATTTGAAATTGAAGTAAAAACAGAAACCATTGAATGTAAATCAGTTTATATACATTCATATTACAGTATTATATGCGCTGCGACCCACTTTTGTCAATTTCTAGGTCCCAAATGTTAGCGATTAAGCTCCTTTAAGTTTAATTAAACAAATTCCTAATCAGAAAATATCTTGTTACAATTATCCATGAAATCTGCCACAATATTATAATTATATGTGCATGTGCCAAACAATGAAATCCCCGAAACAAAAAAAAAACAAAACATAAGACAGATGATTTTATGCAATCGTTAATCTTCCAGTGCATACAAATCTTTAATTTGCCGCAACAATAACGAGAATTTAGTTTTTAACATGTGAGAACAGAACTACCAGAAAAGAAAATTACAAGTTAGGATTTTTCTTGGGAAATATTTAATTGCTTTTAGATTTTTGAATGCATTTTGAGTGAATTAGGAAGATTAGTTTTGTATAATTTCCATACTTTTTTGTACAAGAAGAAGCTGTTTTGTAAATTAACAGAATTAATCATGTATGAAGAAGGAAAAAAAAAACATTAACTAGCTAGCAGACATTTGGTATTAGATATTTAATGAACTTTCGAAGTGATGACTTTTGAAACCATTTCACTCTTGGATATCACTCTGGAGATCATACCTGTGATTTATACTGTGAGAACTGTCCGTGGCAATTTGGAATAGAAATGCACATACAAATTGTTAAATATAACACATGTAGAAATTCTAAAAAAGACAAACAAAGGATTTACCACCCTATCAATTAATTTCCCTTGTTCCCTTGATATCTATTCTGCAGAAAAGTAGGACAATAACCCATTTCATTTGATGACTTTCCTAAATTGTTAACAATAGTTATTTTGGTTGCCACTGTATTTAATGTAAGAACCAGAATATTCAAATTCTGTATGAGTGTTTGTATGTATGATACAGTTAGCTGTAAATGGTCATTACATAACATATCATGTTTTTACTTGACTAAAAACTATCATGACAATATAACCACTTTCATCAAGGACTAGGGTAGGTGTTTGACTTTCTTATCCATCCATCACTTCTGGGGAAGATACTGGAGGGCCTCATAGTGCAAACTACACTACACAAACCATAAGCTTATCTTACAATGTTGCTCTATTAGCATCTTATATTAAATATTGCTAAGATCTTAATTACATCTGAGATAATCATAATCTAGTTACCATAGTAACAAAATAGAAGCTAATTATTAATCATGTGGTTCACCTATTAGTTACGATTTCTAATGTCACAACAGTCCAATTATATTATATCACTATATCTTTATACTTGCACACATCATGAGTATACTTTGACTTGACAAAACTGAATACAAATTCTTCTTATTACTAGTAAAATAATCCTTCAATAAATTTCAAGAATGAGATTTTAGTATACTGTGTGTTTATGACACCGCCTATAAGATGTTTCTACTATTTAAATGCTGCATTCTATCATCCCCTTCCACAATTTACACTAACATTCAACTCACATCTTCCAGCTAAAATCACAGTAAAAGGCAATAAAATTGTTGTGTGTCAACACTTATAAAAGAACTAATATCAGTGCTGACCCCTGACAGAGAAAATAAAGGGACCATTATACGCTTCATTTGTGCCCCTTTCTTTAGAGGAAGTAGATAATTATAAGGACCATTGATAAATACTAAACATGGCCCTTGTGTGATTGAATTGACTGTTACGCCATGCACCATAAACTCTAATAATGACACAGTCTTTGTTGGTCTATTAGAACTTTTTATTACCGACTTTGTTTGCTAATAAAACAAGTTAAAAGACCCCTGGATCAGTCTTTAGAAACGGTCCCAAAACAATTCGTGTAACCATGACTCAAGCCTCAAAACGTGTTGGAAAATAATTGCCGTAATTGTTCTTGTAATAATAGATGTGTTGTTGTACATTATGTTGAATAAATAAATCATTTTCTATAATTTCACAGAAAAATCAATTTTCACTTTTAATAAAAGAAAAAGGTTTGTTCGATATGACAACATATGGTACCATATCTAAAGGTGTGCCAGACTGTGCCATTAGGGAGTTATAGAACTGCACTGGCACTTAATACCTTACCCTATAGATGTTAATGTCAATATTTTTCATATTCTGCTGGGATCTCTTAAACAAATTACCAATTGGACACTATGGTAGTAAATCATTGAATGAGTGTCACTTCTTTTGTAACGACTACAGCTAATCAAATTTCTTTATTTCTTCAGTGTTAAAGGAGCTAAATCGCTAACATTTGGGACCTAGAAATTGACACAAGTGGGTCGCAACTCATATAATACTGTAATATGAATGTATATAAACTGATATACATTCAATGGTTTCCGTTTTTACTCTAATTTCAAATCAGTTATGTTCTGCGAAATAAGCCCGCAGTCTCAATCGAATGCAAATTTCTAGCGCCTGGTTATTCCAGTCTACATACGCTGTTTGGTTTGGTGCAATATGTCTAGTCTCTTGCTAGAACTGAGGCTGAAACGCATTATGGTACACGATTCGTGTACCAATGGCAAAATGTTTATTTTCTCTTAAATATTGGATAACAGAAGCCCATCTTTTTCCGGTAAGATCACAGCATGAATGTTGATTTAAATTGACAAATAATTTGTGTTTTCAATGTTGAAGATTTTGGATGATATTGAGTTAGAGACTTAGCTACTTTAAACTTCAAAGATTCTTTTATGTATGTATATCTATAAACTTTCCTTACAAAAAAAGTCATTGAGAAACCTGGATAATAAATACTACAAAATAAAAATGTTTTCTCTCTTTTATCTTCTGAACTGTTTATATATTCTACTTTCGGGTACCAGTACTAGAAGAATGATTTCTTGAAAGTGAAATACTCACTACTGAAAAGTAACTGACAAAAACCATAGCAAATGAGAATGAAGAATTAAAGGATATTGGAGAACTAAAGACTGAATGGAGATGAAGTAAGGAATATTAGCACGCAAGAATGTGATCTATCAGATTGAAATGAACATGTTTAGTGTTTAATAGAAACTGGTTCCATAGAGTCTACAAGCAAAATTACACAAGGATACCTTCTATACACTCCCTGCGGCATTTTCTTCAAAAAGCCATAATTCAAACGCAAACTAAGACAATATTAAGTAGGATACATTAGTACAGTTAGCGTTATCAATGACACCAGGGTCATGTGGTATCATTTACTACAACAGTGACTCCCCCTTGTGAGAATTCTCCAGCTGCTAGTAAAAACAAACAGTTTATTAAATTTATGTCTTCAAAAAAGACAGCTGTCTATCTTTTAATATAAACTCAAATTTTTACATCTTCCTCGTCATCCTTTTCAACATTCAATTATACCCTTTTTTATCATTATCTGATATCATTTTCCTATTTTATATGTTAAAATGATTGTACATGCACCTGGGGATTAAAACCCAGAAAAAGATTAAATCATATGTTAAGCTCTTGATATCTGTTAAATTTTGAAGTTTCATCTGGTATTCCTATTATTATGCTACCTCAGCAAGTCAAAAATTAAACTTCAATTTAAGTCTTGTAGTCTACATGTGGTTAGCATTTCACAAATTTCAAGTATGTTTTTTTAGTGTAAGTAGCAATTCTTGTATCAAAAAGAGTCAGAATAAAGAATGGAATTCAATGCCTGACCAACACAATACTCCGGTCATTTTGAGACTACATGTATGATATGGTCCATTTCATTTCTATGCTTACATGTACAATGTGAAAGGAGAAATTTTGCCCAGATAGCAACATTTCCACTTACTCATCTTCAAATTCCAAATGGCAAAGGTTTTTTACATGTGTACATGTACACTTTCTTTGTGAGCCCTGCAGACGTCAACCCTGATTATAGAGAAATGCTATTGAAAGCACACAAAACCGGAGAGCAGCAGGTGATAGTACGTGTATAAACTTATCATATAAGATTAAGACACATTTCAGAAATATAGTGTAAAAAAATGCACTTGCCAAGTTGTTCAATTCATAATTCCTGCAATTTTTTTTCAGTTTTAAGAGAAACTAATTTTCCACAAAAATAATGAATAAACAAATATTTTTTATACTATTTCAACATGGTTCACAATTCTTATTTATATCATTTAAGAGAAAATGTTCATACATAAAGTACAAACAACCCAACACTTCCTTCCGAAGAATCTAGAAGTTTACACAGCAGTACTTACGTGTACTAGTATTTCAGATTTGTTAGCACATATGTGTGCAGTGTAACAGAAGTACCATTAGAAGTATTTAGGTATTTCCTTAAAATAACAGATTAAAATACACAATAGACGCTGATAGTATTAGAAAAAATACTGAAATGTTGCAAGACGGTAGTCACCCATTAAAAAACTATATTCGAAACTCAAAATTAACAATTTTTTGGGTTCAGTTTGCTGGCAAAATTCATATGTGAACATTCTAAGCAAAACCAGCAGACTTAATTGAAGGAACTCCCTCTTTCATTACATAATTACAAACCTGCCATAATTATGGCAGACTTCACAACAATGCTTTTGAACATTTAAAAGTGGGTGTAGGCAAGTCTAGCAAAAGATGTATGAAAAAGACAAGCTTCTACACTTTCAATGAATATTAAATTAGAAATGAAATAAAATGAAAAGGGGTTTAACACCCTACTTTTGTACTCCAACAGGGTTAATGAAGACGGGCATACAAAAAGTGATATTGCCTCTTGAAAACATTAAGACTTTTCTTTCTTTTTAATATCTTTACTTCCTCAGTGCTGTCTGTTTATTTCCAAGCATGTAAAAAATGATATTTGGAATAATGCTGACATTCTCATAGCCATGATTTTTATGGATTAATAATTCATGTTTCTTAATCAAACATGAAAATTTCTAAAATAAACTCAAACCAGCAGTCAGGGTAATTATTAATGTATTGGCTTACATTCCTAATCTGCATGATTTTTGTATTTTTGTAATATTTATGTCATTTTTCATCAACAGTCTATCTGTTAACATGATCCGTCTTGGCTCTTCAGGTATAATTCTTAATCTGTAGGAGGTAAAATAACAAAATTTCATGTAAGTGTAATTGTTTCCCTATTGCCTATGAGCTTACTTCATTAATTCCCTTTTTTTTATAATAATAAGATGTGCATTGGTAGAAAAATGCAAATATTTCTATGTTTTCTCCAAGAAAGTACAAAGTCTACAGGCAAATCTACCTGTTTTTTCAGTGCAATATTTATTTCTCCAATCTATGTTGTGCTGTGCCAATTTCATGCATCGTGACATCTGTGAATATTATTTTGTGATTAATCTTTCTCTGATTCTTTCAATTTTATGGACATAACAAAGTTCGTCCCTTCATTCATATCATAAATGTTTAGGCCCTACTTGTATCAGTGTAAACCCAAAAGTTAAAAAACAAGCCAACAGAGAGGCTGATGTCCCCCGCCGAAATAGGAAAATAATTAGAGGACACATATAAATTTATCACAAATTATCTTTTACAAAGTATTGAACAATCAAACAGTATATCTTTACTTATAGTCTAACAATCAAAGTAGGAGAGTTATTGTTTTCCAAAGTCTCGACCAATCAAATTGCGTATCGCTCTGCTTACCCTGAGCAGAAAATGCTCATTATCAAACTTAGTCAAAGTATTACTGTAATGAAACTATACACCAAGTTTCATCAATCTCACTTAATTAGAACTAAAGTTATCGTGTCCCAAAGCATCAACCAATCAAATTGCTTATCTCTGCTTACCCTAAGCGGAAAATGCTCATCTTCGAACTCCATCAAGGCATTGACCTAATCAACACATACACCAAGTTTGAACATTCTAGCTCAATTAGGAAGAGAGTTATCGTGCCCCAAAGTATCAACCAATCAAATTGCTGCTTACCCTGAGCAGAAAATGCTCATTATCAAACTAAGTCAAGGTATTACTGTAATGAAACTATACACCAAGTTTCATCAATCTCACTTAATTAGAACTAAAGTTATCGTGTCCCAAAGCATCAACCAATCAAATTGCTTATCTCTGCTTACCCTAAGCGGAAAATGCTCATCTTCGAACTCCATCAAGGCATTGACCTAATCAACACATACACCAAGTTTGAACATTCTAGCTCAATTAGGAAGAGAGTTATCGTGCCCCAAAGTATCAACCAATCAAATTGCTTATCTCTGCTTACCCTAAGCGGAAAATGCTCATCTTCGAACTCCATCAAGGCATTGACCTAATAAACACATACACCAAGTTTGAACATTCTAGCTCAATTAAAAGTTATCGTGTCCCAAAGCATCAACCAATCAAATTGCTTATCTCTGCTTACCCTAAGCGGAAAATGCTCATCTTCGAACTCCATCAAGGCATTGACCTAATCAACACATACACCAAGTTTGAACATTCTAGCCCAATTAGGAAGAGAGTTATCGTGTCCCAAAGCATCAACCAATCAAATTGCTTATCTCTGCTTACCCTAAGCAGAAAATGCTCATCTTCGAACTCCATCAAGGCATTGACCTAATAAACACATACACCAAGTTTGAACATTCTAGCTCAATTAGGAAGAGAGTTATTGTGTCCCAAAAAGTGTGACGGACAGACAGACGGACGGACAGACGGACAGACAGACGGACAGACAGACGGACGAACCCATTTTAATAGTCCCCTGCTTTCTTCGAAAGGCGGGGGACAAAAAAATCCCCACATAAATGTACATCTGTAAAACTTGTTCAATCAAATGAATAAGCCCAAGTAATACCGCCAATGACTCCATAAAACACTTATCATAAGAATATTGCCTCCAGGGGTTAGATATTATCTCCCTTTATCAGATAATGCAGGCCTATTATAGACAGGTGAGGACTGCAAGCAACAAATAAAGTTATGATATGTTGGTCATGACAGTTGTTTTCATTACCATTGTTATCACACTGGTATTTTTCCCTCCACTTTTTTTAAAGTCTTATGTCAAACATTTCAGTCAGACCTCTAATTAAAGGCTTCCTGGAAATTAAAAATAGTATTCAACTGATTAAGGGTCCCATCTGGTAAACCCGTCATTTCTGAGCTACCCTCAGCTTTGGCATCAGTCCCTTGCTAAATGCTGCATCAAAGATTCAAAGCTAGATGTATTTCTTAAAACAAGAGAGAAACAGCATTCCGTGGTCAAACATTGTATTAATATGAGTACTATTATTTGTATAGGGCTTAGAGAACGTCAAAAGAAGACATCTTTCTAATTATCAGAGTTTTGGGTAAAACCAAAGGTAATGCTTTGTTACTGTTAGATGATACTCACACATCTTGAATCTAGCATTTAATTGTTTAATGAAATTTTTTTAGGAAGAACAAACCACACATCATCTGATAATATTCAACACTGTCATTCACAAATACACATCTCAGTCATCTGATTGTATGCCATAATAATTTCAAATTATTTCAGAAATAGAATTATGAACATTGTGTAAGATTGACTGACAGTAATTGTAGTGATCATTATAAAATGTAAGGGATACCACCCAACTGTTCTCAATACAAAACAGCTGCAAATATAATTGTCTCAAGTTAATTTATTTAACTTCTATTCTGTGCATGTCTTGGGGATTTTTAAAAAATGCAAAATCATGAATCAAGAGAGAATTTGCTTAGTCATCCAAAGTATTCAACCATATGTTTGGCTTTCTTTGCAACTCTTCCAGATAAGATGAAGAGATGAAGTAGTTTAACCACCCAAAATACAAATACACAAAAGATTTAAAATGTTTAGATTTATACAAAGCACCAATTTAATTTACCATTCATAAATCCATTAAACAAGATTTGATTTTCAATGGAACGAAGGAATGGTTCCCATCACGTTAGACAACTTTCTAGATGACGTTCTATCATCTTATCACATGATAAAAAAATATTATTTCAATAAATTTGTTTAACAGCGTGTTTATATGCATCACTTTAAATTCTTGATTTACGCTCTATATTAAGTGTCTTATTGTCTCTGTTTATTATTTAGCTACAGTTCTATGTGTTTTTGTTGTTGAAAAATGGACATTAAATCTGCTAAAATGCGACAT